GTCTGACTATCAGTGATGCTCTCTCAGATTACATATGTAACAGGACTTTTCTCACTGACACACAGCTGACATGCTGTCTAAGAGTGTGTGTGTGTGTGTGTGTGTGTGTGTGTGTGTGTGTGTGTGTGTGTGTGTGTGTGTGTGTGTGTGTGAGGTTTTATTACTTCTGTTTTGGTGATCCAGTTACTCTTTCACCTTGTGGTTTATGGCTCTTCTAGCCCACTCAGTGAATGAGATTCACTGTAGATTTACAAGCATTACCTGTTTAAAGCCACCTCACTGAAGGTGTGCCAAATCACATTCATGCCTGGGACACCACCTCCTACTTTACCACTAACACTTGAAACTGTACTAGCATAAAGTTTTCAGCTTGGAGTTTTTATATCACTGTACCTACAGACAACTACCAACTGTTCTTTGAGGTGTATTGTACATGTTTTTGTACATGTCTTTGTTTGAAATGTGAGAATGTATTATTATAAAATTATATTATATAAGTATATTTTTATTATAAAATAAAACGTTTTCAGGTAGGACATTTATGCACCCTACATAGTCTTATTTTTAACCCCCATTTTGAAACATAAAACAGGACTTTCTGCCCTTTAAAAAAATTATTTTAAATTAAATACAATAATTAAATAAATTCGGACAACCCTCATTTTAAAACTGCTACTCGGAACTTTTGGTGCTTCCTGTGGACAAAGTTATCTCCTGTCCTGTACATGTGAAAGTAGTGTTTTCAGTCAAAATCCTCTCCCTCTTGTCTTTAAACTGTGTAATGTATCATTCAGTATCAGTTTTTTGATCGTACTTTCGTGGTGTCTCCTGATAAAGAACAAACAAACAAACAAAACTCTTTGTTTAAAATGTAATGATTTTTTTTCCAGCAGCTCCTCTGACACCTACCGCCTCACACCAGTTTCAGGTAATAAAAATAATGGCATGGAAATAATCAATCTTATTGCTGCAGTTCTTGTTTACTTTTGTGTATCACAAGAACTGCATCGGGATAAAACTCAGGCTACATAAATGTAAAAAAAAAAAAAAAAGCAGGTCAAAACTCCTCATAGTGCCTTTAATTCATGAAATTTATATCTGCAGTAGCAGAATGCTTTTTTGTGTTTGGTGTTTAGGCTACAACCTAATCACTTCACACAGTTTTAGATTAGATTGGGTAGAACTTTATTGATCCTTTTGGAAAGGTTCCCTTAGGGAAATTAAAAATGTAATCTCTATGCAGGAAATGAAGAGTGAAGAAATGTCTAAAAACACCTAAAGCTTCACTTTTGCAGAGCCAGGGGTCTTGAGGATCTACTTTGTGAGGTCCTGGACATACCTGACATGAGCATGAGCGCTATGGCTTTATGAAAGGGAATCTGCTATGTGTGGACCTTGGTATGCATCATGTTCAGTTTCTGTTTCCATCAGCACCTCAACTTCATGATGAGTATACTAAAACTACCATGTGTGGACCTGGACGTGCCTTGCATTAACATGTAGTTCTGACATTGAGCACCTAAAATAAGTACTGCAGTCCATATTCAAATCATCTGCGAGAGCTGTCTCCACCCACCCTCTCCTCCTAGCGTGCACACGGGTTGCCTTATCACAGACACTGAAGCTTCAGGAGTGTACGACGAGGCTGTAGCTTTGTTTGGAGAATGTCAAGCAACATGTCCTTCACCTCAAGATGATAAACATATGAACATGTTAGTATGATGTGAGTGTAATCTTATTCGTAAATAAAGGGAATATCAGCCATACTCTTTGTTTCTATTACCTGAGTTGTTTTCACTTTGTCTGCATGCAAACAGCTAATGGCCAGTCCATCTATCCTTGTGCTTCGCTAGTGATTGGCAGTTAGCAATAAGCTCGTGTTATTGATGCGTTCACTGTTGCATTGCTGGCTGTGAGTATAATGTGTGTAAAATGGTGTCACTTGCTTTTTTGTTGTCTAACCCATATACAAATAAGAAATTTCTCTGCTTTTTATTTGTCTGCTGTCTGCTCACCTTGTCAGGAGAAAATTAGCCAGCTCTGCTCTTGAAAACCTTCTGAGCTCTGACCTCTTTCCATTATCTCCAGTATTTACATGAGACTGTACAGACTGTACATGGGCTCTGGATGACTGGAACTGAGACAGAACAGAAACGCAGTGTAGCGGATCTAGTGGCCACAACTCTGAGTTCCCCCTGGATGTCCAACCCTCTCTCTAAGGCTGAGCCCAACCCAGGATGTGTATTTCAGCTTAGTTCAGGCTATAAATTCCAGTCGTGCTGTACTCTAAACACAGAATCTGCTGCACGTAACTAAACACACACCTCCTCAAAATTTTATCATTTGTCAAAATGACTTTGACTGCAAGGCCTGTGATTGGTTTGCTTGGTGGTGAACATTTCTGGTATCATTGCCGGTCAATCTCCCCTGATGTCTCTCCTCTTTTTCATCAATGCAACTGCTGTAGCATGATCAACTGCTGCACAGCATGCTGGCTTGAGTTCAGTTGCCATGTTTCCTGTACATAAACAAGGAGGGAGCATAGCGGGACTGGTAACAGGGGATATGACGAGCATTAACATCGCTCTGCTGGCTTGGGATTAGGGTGGTGTATTGCAAAGCACCAGAGCAACCCCAATGCAGGGGTATGTGCTCTTGACAGTGTTGGCCATGATAACCCTAACCCTAACACAGAAGCATAAACCAGGCTTAAGAGCAGAAACTTTGCACTAATTTAAACACAGTTTCATTTTCCATTTCTAACAGGTCTGTTCTATTCAACGAGGTTAACTACTACCCTCTGTATCCTTGAATTGTCTCACAAATTTGAGCTGAGGTGAGTCAGACCTGCACAGAAACGTCCTTCAAAGGGCTTTGTTTCACTTTCGTACTTGGAGGAGATTTTAGAACCGAGACTTCAGCAGAGAAGTTAAACTCCCTCCATTTTATCCAGGGTTTCCTTTTGGCAAGTATCTTTTCTTGTATTGTAGTAAAGATTATGTGGGTTTTTACAACGTCTGTGTAGTTGGTGTGATGCAGAAAGGATCTGATGATTTTCCTGTTTCCTTTACCATCCCCCTAAAATAACCCTCTTATTTGAGGTCATGTAGGGTCGGAAAGAAAGAAGATATTGCCCTGAAGTTGCATTTCTTTTTATTTGGTTATGCAAATGATAAACATCGGATTTCATATCATGTATTTTGCAATGTTTCAGAAAGAGATAAGGCCAAAATTTAGAGCCAAGTTCCTACTTTTGTTTTTCAGTGTGATGGTGATCAAGCACTGTACACTGTGCATGTTTGTCTAACATGTGTGTGACAGATGAAGCGGCAGTGCGATGACTAATCCGCAGTCAAAGCTGCTGTGTTGATGTTGGTTTTACACTGGACGAGCTGCTTTGTTTGACTGAGACTTTACTGGGCGGGCACAGCGGGGGCTGAGCTAAAGAGTCAAATATCAGGGACAGAGGCACCTTACTGTCCCTCCTGAACACACACACACACACACACACACGCAGGCACGCACACACACACTCACACACACAGATTGTGGAGAGCGAGGACAGTGAAAACACAGCTCAGTGTCCCTGAGCCCTCGTCCTTCCTCCACCCATCCACCAGCAGCCGTTCCCACGGGGCCGTTAACATCCTATTGACCCTGCTCACTCATTATCAGATCAGCATGGAACACACCGGGGCACTTTAACCCACTCTGTATACACACACACACACACACACACACACACACACACACACACACACACACACACACACACACACACACACACACACACACACTCACACACTCATGATCACTCTCCTCTCAGAGCTGTATTTTGGCCCTGCTGCTTTATAGCAACCCTACCCTCAAACCCTCAAACCCTCAGTGGGGCACTAAGCTAGCTGTAGCTCACTCCTCACTGTTGAGTGCTCAACCAACGCCCACTCTTACGTCTCTTCCACAGATGCTGGCAGGTCTCAGGGGACGGCCACGGCTTCCCAACATCCCCCTGCTGATTGTCAGTAAACGTGTTGACATAAATGTAGTGTGGCTACTAATGAGCTGCCAACCAACAACCACTGTCAGCTCCTTAAGACCCGTCAATATGCGACAAGGAGGGCTGATTTTAGCTCATTAGTAGAGCTGAGAAGTCTAATAATAGATTAAAAGCATAAAGCTGACATTATTTCATCCGTTTGAGCTGGGAATATGTCTCCCACACACATTAAAATGCAGCGTGGACACGTGTAGTCTGCGAGGGCCCCTTCCAGCGATTGAAATTCATGACAGGTCCGAGGTAGTGTGATACTCATGTAGGCACAAAGCCTGCACATCTAATGTTTATTGATAGCAAAGCCTACATAGGCTGTTATTATTTCAAGGCAGTATGGGAAGGCTTAGTCTCAGTGTTTGCATGTGTAAGTGTGCGTGTGTGCCGTCATGTGTGTATGTGTACACGGCCTCAGTGTTTGTTTGTGTCACACAAAAAACAGATTAGTGAAAACACTGAGGTAAAATAAGCAGCCTGACCTTGCTCTGAAACTGAAAGGCAATCCTCTGAATGATCCGCGGGTCAGTAGCTTTGTCCTTCAGACAGTTAAAGTCTATCCTTCTCATCCCCCCTCCCTCCCTCCCTCCCTGCCTGCCTGTCTCACTCTCTCTCCTCCTCCCTCTCTCTCCCTACTTGCCTTTCTTCTTCTTACAGTACTTACATCCACGTCAAATCTCTAATTCCCTGCACCTTATGTAAAACTCATCCTCCTCTGTTTTCCATTCCTGCAAAACTGCCTGTCTTAATGCAACGCACACACTCACTCGCACACAATGATGCATTCAAAACTCTTGATATGCATGTCATCTTTTCATGTTTGGTCTTTGAACACGGCTGTTTGTGTTATTTCAAGATGTGATTGTTCCTGGTGACAAGCCGTGATGGCACTGATGTGTCTGATCTGCCGCTGCACCTCAAAGGCAGACGAGCGAGACGCACACAGGCGGCAGCAGCAGATACTACCAGCAATATTAAAGACTTCCCCCGCAAACTCTTTGAGCTGTGAAATGTTTGACGCTGTACGAGTGTAGCGAAGCGCGTTGCCAGGTGAGCGCCGGTCCTCCCCCTCCTCACTTCTTCATGTGTTCGATGTAAGTGTGTCAGCAAGTTCCAGATGTCAGTTACGCAATGTCTAATTACAGAAAGACGAGCGGCTTGATTTGTCACTTTGAAGGTGTGTGTGTGTGTTTTCTGTGTGTATACATATACTGTAACAAATTGACAGCAGAATTTACAGTGAATATCTTGCAAAAAGTTGACATAAAGTAGTGTAAAAAGTGTTGTGAACTTACAGTATTTAATATGAGAGTAATCTCAAATCAATAAACAAAAATCTACAAATACTAACAATTCTCTTCTCCATGTTTTTTTTTTTTGTATGAATGCTATTTTCTGATAGTTTTACAGTAAATTTGTGTTTTAGCAAAGCTCTGCAAGGTATGTGCCATCTAATTATGCAAGTGCTTAAGAAACCAAACATGCTTCAGATCCACGATACAACATCACTACTTAAAAAAGCAGTATTTTACCTTTAAGATAAAACCAAATAATGCAAATAAATGAGATTTTTATTATAGTGAATTGTTCAAGGGCTTTATAACAGAGTATTAAGGCCACATAAAAAGTCAAGATTTTAGTGATGCTACGAGAATAACGTAGGGAAAAAAATCAGTTTAAATATAAGTTAAATCACAGTTATGAGGCTAAAGTGATAGTTAATTTAAATACAAATATTCTGAGAATTATGTCTATAACAGTTAAGTCTTTAGAGTAAAAAAAAATAAAATAAAGTTGCTAGTTAACAATCAGCCACATGATGCTGTTTTGAAGGGTGATTCTACACTTCTCACTTTTATGCACATTGTCTTTTCAGAGTCTTGATTTCTAGAACAATGTGGTGCTGATGTGCTAAAGAAATTAACTAAACTGCAGTTTAACCAAGATGCTTCATGTTCTTAATTTTTGTGGCCCTGAACTGGTTTATTGTTTTGAAATGGGTTTAGTTTGTCTTGCAGTCAGATTCAAGATGAAAATGCTCCCTTGCTCAACCCTGATCCCTGGGCGGACAAGAAGCCTCGGTGATGTGTAATAAGTCTACAGACAAGTTTTGGCCGTTTTTTCCTGTGCATCAGTGCGGTGTTTATCACTGTTTTAACAAACCAGGGTCCAAAACGATATTTATTCAAAATTTCTAATATCGCTGTGATGAGTAAAAGAAGAAGAGATGGGTCAAGTGGATCATTTCAGGGACATCCTTGAGAGAATAACAATAAAATTTCTCCAATGATAGCAGAAAGCTATGTAAACGTGCTGAATTTCGGATAGCATCATACAATCAAATGATAGACAAGTGAGTCATTTCTAATGTTTGCGTATTATCACTTTTTAATGTTCGGATCATTTCCATCTGACAGAATTGCTCAGTTTTTAAAGAAAAGTGCTTTTATTTTAGAGATTACATCCTTTCAACATCCTGTTCGTGTCTCTCAGTCAGTGGATAGCTGACATCTTTAATTTACTGTTATAGAGGATTTAAAACTAAAAGTAAAGACTGAAAAACACGAACATCAACATAATCTCCTGAATGAGGTCAAACCAACAGGAAATAACAGGCCAGAGGAGAAACCGCTTCATCTGGGTTCGACTCAGGTGAACAAAGTTTAATATCAGATCACGATGATGAAGTGTTAGCATACCTTCCCTTAGCCTCTCTGTGTCATGTGATAAAACATGACAGAGATGAACAGATAGAGCCTATCTCTTCCTCCCAGCGCCACTTCTCTTTCTATAAGATAATCTGGAGATAGGCCTGCTATTCATTTGTATGCAGATGATAATCAGCTGTACGTGAGTGAACCGCTGTTCCAGCTGTGACCTTGTTTAATTATTGATCAGCAGAGAACATAGTTATGAACATCAGTGTTTTATAAAGTGGACAATATGTTGAATAAATGAATGTCAGAAAATCACAAAGCTGGGAAAAGTTAACAAACTGCAGTCGTCATCTATAGATATTTTTCTGTTACTCACAAATTAATGTCAATAACAACTCTGACGTTTGTGAGTTAGTGGTGCTGCAAACTGTTTAAAACCACTGGCAGTAGCTTAGGAGGTAGAGCGGTCATCCAACAACTGAAAGGTTGGCAGTTCTATTCCCCCCTATCCCTAGTCTGTCTGTTGTTTGTTCTTCCTCTTTGCTCCCAGTGTATGTTCTTCACTGGTGTGTGATTTATATATGTCGCTTTGGATAAAAGCATCTGCTTAATGACATTGTAATTTTATTTTCTTTACTGATGTTCCTCCATGCTTCTAGTCATTTTATGAGTATCTTAAAAGCTGAAATGCATATGAAAGTCTTTTGAATATTCTTTTTTGGTAACGTATCTTAACAAGACTGTAAATCTGTCATATTCGCCATCTTAACATCATCCTATCTAAGTATTTGCTCAGTTTTTGATTCAGCCTCAAGTGGTCAATCCTGGAACTGCAGCTGTTTTTCAAAGATCAACTTCATCATTAGAAACCACAGCCGTAGTCAGAGGCAAGATGAGAGGGAGGGGGGCTGCAATGCACCAAACACTGCTGGGACTGATTTATTATTACCCATGTGACCAAAACTTTTTCAGAAATGATTTTACCACGCTAAATGATTGTTTGTCATGCTTTTATTTTGATATTTATGGTCCCGCAATCATTTTGCTTTACATCTTTTTTTTTTATTTTGAGGTTCACTACTTTTGGTAGATCATAAGTTTTGAGAACTAAATAAAATAAAAATAAGTAGAAATGATCAGTAACCATGGAAGTAAAAGCTTTAGCATTGTTTCCGGATTCACGATAAATCTTAAACAGAAGTTTTAAAAGTGTTGAATCACCTCTCAGAGCGCAGCTTATTTAAGACATATCAATATTTTATTTCATGTTTTACGACAGCTGTCCACACTCCTGTCGAATTGTGACAGCTCTAGCTCACAATAAACGTTACATCTCTAAAATAAGCTTTTTATGTGTCATATCTTACAGTCTTTCTGTCTTTAACCTCTCCTGTCTTTGCTGTCTTTCTTTTTTTTCTCACTGGATCACTGGATTGATTACAGCTTTTGAGGCAGGGCTATAGAAGTTGTGCTCTCTCGAGAAATAACTAATGCTATGGAGTAACGACCAATCAGAATCCAGTATTTAATACAGCTTATGTTAAGTTGCTAAACTAAGGTTGTGAGTGTGTACAGCTTGTTGACCTCGACATGTTTGTTCTAGCCGAGGTATAAACTCATGTTTGATGGTTTAATTAGTGACCCTCTCCTCCCTCTTGTCCCTGCTCGGCAGTGATGAAGAGATGGACGTTTCCTTTTGTAACCGTGACCTTTAGCTGTGTCAGGTCTGCAAAGAATAGCTCCGTGTGGACTATCATAAAACAAAAACTGACACCATACATGTCGTATATATGCGAGAAGAGAAACCTGGCTGCACTTTCTGCAGACTTCTTTTAAACATGGGTGAAGCAGCGCAGTAATCAACTACAGGTTGTCAGTGTGGTTATAAATACAGCTGTGTGTGCAGTTATGTTAAAAAAAGGTGTTGTATTAATAGAGCACACTGACCCCCACCTCCCTCCTGTCCAACCCCCCACTGCCACAGAATGACGGATCGATTGAAGAGTGACAGCAGTGAGGAAATAGAGAGAGATTCAGGATTTACATCGTCCTCTGACACGCTCATATAAACGCCCCCCAATGATAAAGAGACTACACTCTGACAAGGACGCCAGTCCTGCTTTGGCTGCTCTCAAGTTAAAGATTTGCCATCTCCCTCTCCTCTTTCCCTCCCTCGCTCCCTCTATCTCTCTCTTTTAGCAGATTTCACACAAAGCATATAACCTTTGTGAATTATTTAGTTTATTGACCTCTGCGGGGATTTAATATGAAGGTCGTTTCCTGCTGGCAGAGCGAGCGCCGGCGGGGTCCTCAGGTGACATGGCCAAGGTCGCCCGTCTCCCTCCAGTTAATAATATATTTGTCACACGCAGCGTGTTCGCCCCCGACACAGCGCTACTGCCTTCCACTTGATTAGTGCAACCAATAAGGACTGCCAAAGATAATAAAGTAGACATTGGCTTAAGGAGATGTGTCAAATGTCCACAGCATCTCTCTCTATCTCCCCCCACACAGATACTCTGAGCACCAACACACACTCATACACACACACACAAATTCACACCCTATCCCTCCTCCTCCTCCCCCCACCTCCTCCTCCTCCTCCTCTCTGTTCTTGTTTTATTGTTTCCTAGATGAAGGTTAAAGGGAGATGCTGAACAGACAGAACAGCCGGAGGGCTGTGGAGAGCCTGGCTGCAGCAGGCGGTGCTTTGGGTACCAGCAGCGAACAACCTCTGCAGCCCCCTCCGCCCCTCCACAAGGCCACACAGAGCTCTGGTGTGTCAGAGGGGCGAGAGGGTGAGCTGGCCAGAGCCACGGGGGCAAGTGGGTCACAGCATCTGATGTACAGGGGGGGCAGTAGAGAGCTGCTGGTCCCTGACCAGGCCTGTCACTGATAATAATCACAGAGAGCTATGGAGCCTTATTAGCACCGAGACAAAATGGCGCCCCATAGGTGAAGCCCAGGTGAATTATGGGGACGGAGAGGAAAGCATTACATCCAGGGTGGCAAATATATTCTGGCAGCATGCTGTAATGAAGTTGGTGGAGTCTGAGAGGATGTAGGGCTGAGGGTTTAAATCTTTAAAGGGTGAACAAGCCTTAAGTGCAACATTATTGATCAGATTGTATGAGAGCAGGTGATAATGGAGAATACAGGAGGCCCAGCAGATGGTGGTGGAGGAGGAGGAAAGGTGTTGCAGTCAGGGCTGAGCTGCAGTCTGTCTCCTGTTTGTCTTTTACCTGGGATAGTTTGCATCAGGAGGTCAGTGCAAGGTGAGGGTGACAAACAAAACAAGCAGCCACCTGTGAGATACTGGAGACAGCAGCTGACAGTGTCAGGTGTTACATGACGCATAGACTCACACACATCACATAAAAAAGTTGTATAAGTTTATAGATATTCAGTACCTTCATGTGTTGTTAAAGACATTTATTGCTTTAGCCAAGCTGAAACTGAACTTCTAAAATACATGTAAACAAGGTAGTTTAACTGAAAACGCACCAAGTCAAACAAAGTGGGGAGCCATTTTTCTGTGACGTATAGACCCCTCTATCAGCCTGAAACTGGCCTAAGCCATCTGTAATGAACAAAATCTAGACTAAAGCAGACGGGACGCCATCTGAAACCGTCTTGTGCTCTAGTCTCTGTTTGTCAGAAGCCTCTGCAGTGGTTATCCATGTTTTAGTTGTGGAGCTATTTTAGAACAATGCTTAGGCTCGGCTAGATCAGTTATTGCTGTATCTGAACCAGTTCACCTGCCTGCTTCCAACACCCCGTTAGTTTACTGTGATAAGAGGTCTCAAAATTGGCAGCCTGAGAGACAACTACAGTGGCCCCTTGGATGGGCCTTAAAACAGCCTACCTTGAAATGTCTTGTCATTTTTGGATGTGCTCACATGTTATAGATGGTTTTCTTGTATTTGTTTGCTTGTAAATTAAAGTGTCACACTGGTTCATGTGACCCTTGGGTGCATGATATGGCAATAAATAAACTGCTAATAGTCCACCAAGTCTTCACCTCGATACATTTCTGACCAAATGAGCAGTGTACTCGCCAATGACCAACATGAATTTGTATTTTGTAATTTCCGAGGTCGAGACACATTTGTAAGTTTCTGATTAGTTTTTCCTCAGGTAATGGAGCAGGCATCTCTCAGAATCAATGCCTGATTGGAGTGTCCTGTAAATCAAAGACAAAAACAGAGAAACTCTTTAAAACGATCATGTGTCAGAGTGTTTCAGTGGGCGCTGCTGAAGCTGAATCCGACCTAAATTAAACACTGGAGAACGAGTCAGGATGGGAGGTGAAATGTGCCAGAGCATTAGCATGATGTATGATTGGACTGGTGGAAGGACGCAGTACATTTTCTCAGAATGAATAGATTTGTTGAGTCTATTAATGACCTTCTATTCTAGACCTTTTTCTCTATTATGTGAACTGCCCAGCACCATCCATAACTCTCAGATCTCTATCTTATAAATCATTGTTCTATCCCCATCTCTGCGCCATCGTAACAATTAGGCTCAATGCTGGGATTCATGTTTGCTAAATCCAGATTAACTCATCCCACCTCTGTATCTATAGAACATATGAGGAGGATTAATGGATACAATGCGCTCCATTATATCTGAGACTGTCTTATGTCAGAGGGAATTAACATTACAGAGACCTTATAATCACTGCAGTAAGTCCTTATGCTGGGAGGTGACACTTTTCATACCCTTAAAGAGACAGTTTGTTCATTTTAGCTACAAATATACAGACTTTTTTTTTACATGCTACACATTTGATCACTATGGCTACAGCTATTGTTAAGAGATCTGGCCCTAATGATGACTCCAAAACTCAATGTTCATGACAACTTTGAAGCGGTCCAACTCTGCAAAAGCAATAGTCTATGTTTCAGGATTTGCAACATTTTGGAATATTTCCATTATCATTCTTTTTGTCTAAAATCACTGAGTGCAGCGGATAATTTATGATCGTTACTTCATGGAAATGCAACCAGACCAAGACGATAAGGCAGAAGAACTACTGCATCTGCAGTGCACATACAAGATACACAAGAACTCTTCCATGAAATAATCATAAATGTTCTTCCTTGAGCTGCAAAACTCCACTGCAGTTGGTGATGGACTCTTCAGGACTCCCTCATAAACAAGTGACTGCTGGAGGAGAGTGGGTGTGTTGTGTTTAGTCTCTTTGCTAAAGTAATTAGGCAAAGCTAAAAAGATGTTTGATGGCTAGTACTTTGGCTGGGACCCTATATGTACTGTTGACGAAGTTAGGTGCTGTTCTGAGCAATATTAGTGGCTATAGAATGGCTTTTTGGTTGTGGTCTGCGCATGGAGACATAGACCGCTGTGTATTTATATCGTGCGGTCAATACTAAAGTTGGTATAACTAGAAAAGAAAGCAGTCAGCAACATTCATCTCTTGAGGGGGTGTCTAACTTGGTGATATGGTGCGTTTGACCATAACTTAAATTTACACCGGAATATCCCTTTAAATCAAGCTTATAACTAAGTTAAGTGATTTAACTGCACTAGTGTCTCACCGCAGTCAAAGCACCACCTTTTATTGATAAAAGTATATCCGTCTCGCTGCAGTAGGTGCCAATATATTCCCTTTCAGTTAATTGTGACTGGGCCATCTCCTGGTCACGTCCTCAAATAATCAACAAGCATGTTTAGAGAGAGGCAAAGTGGCTGTATGTCTACCAATGAAAAAAGTTTCAGTCAAACTTATACATAAATTGATTTTCTCAGTGATGTGTATTTGCACTGACTGTGAAGCCTAAACCTTTAGAGCTCCCCCCACTGGCTAGCTGCAGTATAGCTCACAAACACCATCTGTGGAGGAGGTGGGCTTTGTGAACTGTCCTGGAGCCAGTCTGTGGGATGAGCTCCAAATATTTTTGGCTTTGCTTTTAGGGAATATGTCATCTATCTATTTACACTCTTTTTGGGTAGATCTCTGGCTTTTCGCATTGAAATCTATTTGGCAAAAAACAGAAAATTAATGCTGCACAGAACCGGGTTTTAGGGTGGAAACTTTTTAAAATGCAACCCCTCATGTCTACATGTATTCTTTCAGTGATGGGAAAATAGTGACACCATAGCCCCATTTACATGTGCGTATCAGTATTAAATTAGACTGTCCTTGTCCAAACAAAGGTTGAGCTCTGATGTCTGTACTGTGGCCAGCTTTTCTGAACAGTAGACAACCACAAAGAGTAATAAATTAAATATTCAGAAGTATTAACATCCCTTCATAAAAAACACCCTTTAGCAAAAAATAAACTTTCCCTCAAAAGTGTTCCTCCACACATGTCCTATAATTCATTAAAATCAGATAACAGGTTTATTTGAGCGTGCGGCTGTCTAATATTGTCCTTGTGTGTATGTAAAGGTAATGAGCCTCCTCCACCATTCTTCTGGGATCTGTCACACAGGGCTCCCCCAGGCTTTCGTCTGCAGAGGTCACCAGTTCAGACACTTATTGGCCTTTTCATTAAGGCAGACTGAGGGCAGAAGTCTGGGCTAAGGTCTCCACTTCTAAAGTAACTCTGTGGCTCAGACCTCATTTGCAACCAGACAAGCCTATTGTAACAGCAAATAAAACAATATTGATTTTGCAAGTGGCAACAGGGCTGTGCATCTTATTGATCAGGATCAAGCACTTATCACTCTGCAGACCCAGAGTGTGCCAGTGTTAAGCGCAGGTCTCAGGTCTTAATTACGATGGTGGCCTTTACATGGTTCCTCGCCTAATGATGCTCCAATAACACCGCTGAGTTTGACCTTCTGCTACAGCTGGCTGGACAAAGGAGCAGCCCCTCCAGTACAGGACATAATTTTACTGTTCAGTCATTTTATTAACACGACTGACCTGTGTTTAACACGTGCTATTTTGGTCATTTTCAGCTTTTTACTGTCTCTTTTTTGTTATAATTAGTAACAAGCTCAATCACACCATCAGTAGAGCTGTCAGGGTGACCTCATCTAACAATGACTACCTGTTCGTTTAAGTTTTTGTATGTTACATATTTATTGCTAGCAAAGGTATAAAAATGGCACTCCAGTGAGGCTGGAGGTCATTACCCACCGGTGAATTAATGAAAAAGTGACACAAAAATGCAAAATAGGCGGTTTACACCTTTTCATATACACACCTGGTGCAACCTGAATTAATTTAGCATATTCACAAAAAAATATGCCATGGGAGAATAGAAGAGGCGAAAGAAGAAGGAGGAACAATGGCGACTACATCCTCAAGTGATGATGATCTGGTCATGGTTGTTAGCCTATTAAATAACAAAAAGAAAAAGAAGGATCTAAGTGTCTGGGTACATCCAATACTGACCTTGCGACAAGAGATGAGGGAGCTCCACGCAACGATCCAGGAGCTCAGATTGTATCCTGAGAAATTCCAACAATACTTGTGAATATCCCTCAGACAATATCAAGAACAGCTTCATCAGCTGACTCCACATCTGCAGAAGGAGAGGACAAATTACAGAGAGCCGATTGATCAGGAGCAACAGCCTGCCACATGTTTTGCGTATGTTCGCAAAGTTCCCTACAGGGGCAAAAATTTTTTTTCGCATTTTCGCTCAGGGGAAGTTTGTAGCTGGTATGTAAGCTTGCATTGCCTTTATGAGGTTTTTAAAAAAAAGTGAATTATTCGCTTTGCAAATTCGCCCGGGTTTGTAATGACCTTGAGTCTCCAGGGGTACAGAAGAGATATGGTTCACTATTCTGTGAGAGACTGCATAAAAAAACGCTCTACGGTATTGGATAAATGTAACAGTGTTGTATTATTGGACAAATTTGTGGATGTCATCATGTACAGTACATCAAATCAGAGAATCAGAGAAGTA